TTACGCCTTCTTTCTTTGCGTGAACATTTGGGCGGCGTTATGCAAATCTTCCCACATAGTGAGGTAGATATGTGGGGGCGTGTTAGAATGAGCCGTTTTAGGTAGGTGTGGCTGACTCTTAACTTTTATAAAGAATATCTCTTTGGATTTGAGACTTTAGTCTTTGCAACTTTACAGATCTTCTTTATGCACCAAGAGCTTGTTACACTCCAAAGAGAAAGGAAAAATTTAAATCGCATCATATGACCCCTTTAAAATTGTACAAAAATCGCATCACAAAAGACAATCATATTCGTAAACACTAGATTAGTACTTCTAGATTACTAAATGTAAATATGGCTTCACTCTTGGCACTCTGATCAAAAAACAATTATTTAAAATTCTGTTAAAAATGCAGCTCTTTTGAGTTCTGTCAGATTGAATTAAATGGTCAAGCACATTGCATTGTGGGATGGGCATCATGCATGCTATATTGTCATTCTGAAGCGGTCTTGCGTTCTCGGCAGGTTTCATCGGCCGTAGTGCGGCTACAGTCCATCAGTGAACTCTGTCTCTCGTTTGGAGCCGTTCTTCTTTAATGGACACTGAACAGACTCTCTGCTGCTCATTTTGATCAGGAATCGCACGCAGGAACGCTGGACTCTCGACAGCCCAGTGGACACGGACGAGCTGACGATCTGTCTATGTGCGGATATTTCTGTATATTTTGACAAAAAATGGTATATTACGTGCTCTTCGCCATGAATTTCTCTTTTTGTTTTTTTCCCCCAGGCGATGGTTTTTAATGCAGCAGACGATGTAGTTGATTTTCTACTTGTAACTGAGAAATTATTCCAGTCCTTTTAGTTTTCAAAAATGGAAAAGACTTTTCTAATGAGTGCAAACCACATTATTACACACTAAATATAACCGTCTTTAAAGGAACAGTTTGTCCAAAAATGAACATTTGCTGAAATCTACTCACCCTCAGAGCATCCAAGATGTAGATGAGTTTGTTTCTTCATCAGATTTAGAGAAATGTAGCATTGCATGACTTGT